TGACGGGCACCACTGGATGTACACAGCTCGCCATAGACTCTAACACGCCCGCGGGTCCCCAGCTTTATCTTAATCGTCTTACTGAATTCAGTAACTTCTGACTCCTGCTTGATATCTTATCATTACTTCCTACCACTTTTGATTACCTGTTTGTCTTTATCTTTCATCTGTTGCTGTTGCTTGACATGCTGATATGGGGTGTGGCAACTTGGACCGTTACGCAGCAATGTCTGATCCTACGTTGATACTGTTGTTGATGATGATAGTGATGTCTTCGTTTGATAGATATTATACTGCCCTCTGGGCCCTTGAATTCTCAGGTTAGTGTCCGTGCCAACATGATGATGATGAAGGTTAGTTGAGTGTAGGTTTGTTAGTGGAGACCCTCTTCTTTGGATTCGCAGATCACAATCTATTTCTAATCAGCACTTACTTCTGATACAGGCAGTGCCGTTGTCGTACCAGATGTCCTTCCTCTACCACTTAAGCCTGAACTGAAACAAACGGTGTTATTTGTTTTGTGTTGGTTAGCAGTGGAATCTAGGACGCATATTTCGTTTTGTTTGGGATTTGCCAACTGGATATGTCTGCATCCCTGCAAGTGATAGTGTCCCCATAGGGCGACAGGCGAGTCCTGAATTTCGCTCCTAGCCACCACCAAGCAAATAACATCAAAATGAAACATGAGGCAATTTCAAGGCATCCTTTCAGGGAGCCCATATGCCAACAGATCCAGCAATTCTTCTTGGTAAAAAACTCAACAGCAGAAACTCGGGGATCTGTAGCTCATGGTTCACTCGACTTCTAAACACGTGATTACCTGCTGCATTGAAGTCCACGTGTTTGCTGCTACTTTTCAAGTCAACTTATGAGCACCCGCCTACACTTTTGTCACGCTACGGTGTTTGTTATGCTCATTTTTCATCTTGAAGGTCATCCAAATGATTGTCCAAAAGGGGATGGCGTATGCGAATCAGTTGTCCCCTGTATTGCTACTAAATACCGAACCGAGTTAGGTTCAAGGCTAATTATCGAATTTGCAGGAAGTATAGATGAATACTAGCTTTAAGTACAAGACGGTAAGGGGGAAATAAAAAAGCTTTTGAAACTTCTGATTCAGATCAAATCACTGTAGGACCTCACACTTCGCAGTAGTACACAAAAAATAATTTGATCGAAAAAGAGACGTCAAAGTAGGCAAGTTATGTGAGAGAGTAAACAATTTCAAGATAACGGTTAGTGCAACTATTCAATTTTTAGAAGACGTCGAAGAGTGAATACATCTGCATCAGTGTGACTGATTTTCAGCCATATCAGCAAAAGTCCTCAACCGCTGATCCCTGTCATCTCGGGGACGTCAGCCAGGTAGTTTACATACCCTTACACGGCTCAGACCAAGTCAGAGACTTCATGGACTGGTTGCATATCTTGATCTGACCACTTTTAACCATCTTCCAACATATTTCAACTTCCCGTAGCATGGCATGTCAAGGTGGACAGTGGATTGGTATGCACAATACATATCCAAGCCATCTCAGTCGACTAAGGTTCACGGTCATCAATCTACTTGCCTTTCTTGCCTAGTACCCTTCGTCTGACTTCAACATTGCTCAGACAGGGATTCTACCAAACGCAAGCAATGCTGCGAAGATACCTATGCTCAAAACTCTGTAATCGCTTCTGATTTGGTTCACGTCTATTCCGTCATAGTGTGGGCTGCATAAATATTTGTCTATGAGACTCTATAATATCCCCCATTGTGTGGTATGTTACAGGATTGCAAGTATTTTTTCGAGTGACTCCACCAACTTGTACGTCAACGGATTCAAAAAATGGTGGTGACAAATATACAGTTTGGATGTCAGGGTGCTGGAGTAAAAATAATGGTGTCTCTAAGTGTGCCTGTGGGGGGGGGGTTCTAACTTAGCAGTTACTTTGGATAACGTCATAAGATGGCAGAGGTCATCTGAAAAGCGAGATTTATTTGCGCCATGCATTTCAAAGTCTGATAAAAGGTTCACTTGTCAAATCATTTCACACAAACAATGGAAATAGAATGAAAAATATGACAGTAAGGGATTTAATAGTAAGATAAGTTGTAATGAAATAGTCATAATCTTTACAACCGGTTTAAGTAATGGGATAAGATAAATATTACCAGGGTAGGCTAAGTGCAAGGATAAATTGCTTTTGAATGCATAAGGGTGAACTGAATATGAAGAAGTGACTAGCGCCCCAACACACCTAAGTATACGCTCCTTACAGTTTCTTCATAAAATTGTGTAGGCTGTGTTATTAACATAAATCCTGCAATAATGTGTTTTTACAACAGTTGCAGATGCGACGCGGTCGTTTATATGGTAGTAAATTCTGTGCTACAACCTGTGTTTGATAATCTTAACTACTATAAGCCTAGCTGCAAACTCCATTTTGCTGGTGACCGGACTTAATCTTTCTATGAAAGGTTTCCTTCTGTATGATAGGGTGATATCAACACTTTTCTTTAGAACAGAATACAGAGTGAGTTTCAATATTGACTGATTTCTACTGTCGTTTATGAACTTCAGTTGATATCCATTTTCTAATAATGCTTCAGTCAATATTTTAATGTGATCATTAATTGAGTCTGTTATACAAATAAATTAGATCCTATTGAATAGACATCTTATCAAGCATTGATAAATATAAATTTCTATAGTGCCGTGTTCAAGTTGGTTTCTTGTCAGTTAACGGTTTTATTGAACCTTCTGTACAGTTAGGGAGTATATCTGAGGACAGCAGGCAGTTATCTCTTTTTTCTTCAAATGTTAGATAGATATGGTATTGTATGGTGTTAAGTCATTAACCAGGCGAGGTTTGATCCACCTCGCCGGACCAAACCTCGCCTGGTTAATTAGTTCACTAGTTACTAGCCGGTCCTAAGCCCAGATAAAGAGGGAAGGTTGGACACAGGGCTAGCAACACTACCCCGTAAAACAAACCTAACCGCTAAACAAACTTCAAAGCACAAACGAAATATAAAAAATAATAAAAATTATTCCTCACTGGAATCAGACAGGCGAAATGACGCCGATTGGTGAAAGCCTGCCTTCGGGAAGCCGATTGGCCGATGTGTCTTCTCTCCCTAGATGAAAGCGAAAGTAAACGTGGGGACATGGAATGTCCACACCATGTTTGAACCCAGTAAGGCAGCCCAGATTGCAAACGAGATGAAGAGGTATCACATTGAAGTGCTTGGAATTTGCGAAAGTAGATGGAATGGGAGTGGACTCTCCAAACTGTCAACTGGAGAATCAATAATCTACTCAGATATTGTCACCCAGACGACAACCACGAGCACACTGAATTATGGAGTGGCTATCATGATGTCCCCAAGAGCATCGAAGGCTCTGTCTCATGCAGTGGGAACCAATCTCCTCCAGCACCAGGATCATGACAGTAAGGTTCAACTCAAAAGGAAGGAAGGTCACAATCATACAATGCTACACTATGCTATGCACCTACAAATAATGCAGAGCAAGAGAAGAAGGAGGAATTCTACAGACAACTGCAATCAACACTGGACAAGACCCCAGTTGGCGACATCAAAATTCTAATGGGCAACATGAATGCCAAACTGGGGGTGGAAAACACAGGAAGAGAACAAACCATGGGCCGAGAAGTGCTCGGTGAGTTGATGAACGAGAATGGAGAATTGTTTGCAGAATTCTGTGCATTCAACGGTTTGGTGATTGGAGTGAGGCAGTGTGTTCAAGCACAAGGATATCCACAAAGCGAACATGGATTTCACCAGACACCAGAACACACTAAAAATCAGATTGACTTTATCTCAATCTCAAGAAAATGGAGACGCAGTCTACTTGACACAAGGTCAGGAAGAGGATCAGATGTAGGTTCACACCACTATCTAGTGCAAGGAACCTCCCAAATCAAGTTAAAAGCCTTCAAGGAAGTTGGTGATAGACCGCAGTTCAAGTACAACACTCGGAAACTGAAGGATGAAACTACAAAGGAAATCTTTACGACAGCCAACAAGACAAAATGGGAGATATCAAGGAACATCCCTGAAGAAACCTGTGTGGAAGAACACTAGAAGTCTTTGAAAGCTATGTGGAAAGAAACATGCATAACCGTATTAGGGAGGAAGAAGAAAGAAGATAAAAAATGGATCTAGATGGATACATGGAAGCTGATCGAGCAGGGAGAGGAGGATGGTGAAGCAGAAGATAAACCAGTGCAAGGATGCTCAACGACAACAGGAACTGAGTACAATGTATAAAACACAACACTGGACAAAGAAGTGAAGAAGAGTGCATGCAAACACAAAAGACACTTCTACAAGACACTGGCAAAGGAAGCAGAACAGGCTGCCGCAGGTAGGAGAGACACTGACAACATTGTGTCAAATAACCAGATTGCTATCTGGAAGGGAAGACATCAACGCAGACGAAACCAATAAAAGACGATGATGGAAATTTAATTACGAAAGAAGAGAAACAAAGGAAATGATGGGCCGACCACTTCAAGAAGCTCTTGAATCGACCACCACCACCACCTGCACTTCGTCCAGAAATACCACCTACAGCCCAGCCACAGAACTACTAGTGAACACAAATCCTCCAACAAAAATGGAAGTCCTGAACGCCATAAAGCTACTGAAATGTGGGAAAGAATCATGACCAGATGGAATCCCGCCAGAAGCACTGAAAACAGACGCAGAGACAACAGTGGACATGCTCACACCACTATTGCAGAAGGTGTGGAAGGAAGGGAAGGTACCTGCCAGTTGATCGGAAGAAGGGTTACCTCTTCAAAGTCCCAAAGAAGGGAGACCTAAGTCTTTGCAAGAACTGGCTCGTAATCACTCTCCTGTCCACCCAGAGCAAGCAAAATATTAAGCCGCATCATCCTGGAGAGACTAAAAGATGTACTGGATTCAAAACTACGACCGGAAAGGGCAGGCTTCAGGAAGTACAAATCATGTGCGGACCAATTTGCAACGCCACACCAAGCATCATCATAGAATAGAGTATAGAATGGCAGTCGACTCTCTACCTCAACTTTATCGACTTTGAGAAGGTCTTTGACAGCGTCTACCGAGAGGTAATTTGGAAACTGCTTCAATACTACGGAATACCGTAAACCTTTATCAGCCTCATTCAACAACTATATGAAGACACTACGTGCCAGCCAAGTAATTGACAATGGGAAGCTCAGTGATGCTTTTGAAGTGAAGACAGGAATGAGTGAAACAAGGCTGTCTACTATCACCCATGATATCCCTGATAGTGGTCGACTGGACTGAATTATGCAGCAAACAGTGGGGAGCTGTGAGAAGAGGGGGATACGCTGGCTGGACTGCGGAAAAGAACCTAGAATATCTGGATTTCGCCAGTGATGACTTGTGTTTGATGTCACACAAACTTGAAGACCTACAGGTGAAAACTGACAAGTTGTCAGAAGAGGCAGGGCAGCGAAGACGAGACTTCCTTCAAGTGAATATAGAGAAGACAGAGGTGATGAAGATACCACACCAACAACTCCAACAACAACAACAAACTGCAGTCACCATCAACGGGAGGAACTTAAAGCAAGTAACCTCCTTCACCTATCTAGGCAGAACTGTTTCAACTACAGGTGGCACAGGCACAGACGAGGATGTCAAAGTCAGAATCGGAAAAGCAAGACAGGCGTTCAATAACCTGAAACCAGTGTGGAGATCTTCTGAACTGCACTCAGCATAAAGCGTGAGCAAGATCCGGATTTTCAACACCAATACAGTCAAGTCAGTGCTTCTGTATGGTTCAGAGACTTGGCGCGTTACGGAAAGGATTTCCAGTAAACTACAGACATTCATCAACAACTTCTTACGCTTGCTACTGAAGATCAGATGGCCAGAATAACAAGAATAAGCAACAGGGAGCTCTGGGAACGAACCAACCAGGAACCTATCCCTGAATAAATAGGCAGAAGGAAGTGGAGATGGATTGAGAAGGCCGACTGAGGACATCACGCGTCAGGCCAGTTGCTCTAGTGGAACCCGGATGGGAAGCGACGAGTTGGGCGTCAGTGCCGAGGGTAACATGGAGGAGATCGTGCGAGGAGGAAATGAGAGGTTGTGGGCTGTCGTGGAGCCAGGTTCAAAAGATTGCAGAGAAGAGAGTGGAATGGAGACGTGCTAGTGAAGCCCTACGTTCCATTAGGAACCTAAGTGACTAGTAGTAAAAGAATAATGGTGTTAAGTGTTTAGCAGTTATTCACTAACAAGATGACTAGCAGCACTACTGATTATGAACGGGTGAGAAAAACTCTTTTTGAACATGATTTACTCCCTAACTTTTTACTGCTTTTGGTTCTCTGTCTGTTCAAAAATTATTGTATAGCTAACCCTTACTGGTATTTCATACTACTCAGCAGTTAAATACTCTTAAAGTACCGCATAGTAGATTGATCATCAAAGACTGTCTACGGTGAGTAACATCACTGATATCTATATTGGAAACCTTTTTGCCGCTGAAAATGACCTCCATTTTATCCTAGTTTTAACTAAACTTTTCAGTAACAGATGATGTCCACATCAAGACGTTTAGACTACTTATAATCGACATGTAGTGTAAAATTGTGTGGGTTTGACGAATGCAGTCTGAGATGTCTAAGCACACAAATATTGACACATTGTTAGCTGAGGAGGAAACTGCTATCTGAGATATCATGATCAAGAAGCAGTTAAAGTCAGGGCTATAGTGAGAGTAAAATATCTGCTGGAATCAAGCATGCGAAGTTTTTGGATACGTCTTGAACTCTTGGAGTCCATCCTTCACTGAGAAAGTGTGGGACTGATAAAGTATACTGACCACATTTAAATTTGTATTTGGCAGGCTAACTCCTCATCCATTCGGACACGATAAGAGTAACTTCCTCATCAACAATTTTCTTTGAATAGTCGTCGATCCATATATTTCTTTAATTGTCAAACATTATCTTTCCCTCAATTTTCGATATTTACTGCCAAGAACTTACCCGAAAATATATTGATGATAAATGATGACTAGCAGTGAAATCCAGGACGCATGTTTCATCCGATTTGGGAGTCATCAGCTGGATGTAGCTGCCGGAAATTAGCCACAAAGCTAAACGGACAAAACCAACGTGTAGTCTCGAACACAAGTGCATCATTTCAACTTGCCACATTTCATGGTAGCATGCAAACAACAATTGGGCGGAGAAAGAGTGATGGCAAAGCAAACAAAGGTGTGTGGGAGGGAAAGGAATTTAGAAACAAGGTTCAATGAAAGTTTTCATGCTCTGGATAACCTCGAAGAGTGAATACATCTGCACCACTGTTATCGGTTTTCAGCCATGTTACCGAGATTCTCTAACCATTGATCTCGATGGTCTCGGGGACCCTAAACAGGTAGTCTACACCATGCTACACAGACCAGAGCAACAATGTGAGACTTCATGCACTAGAGCCATGTCTTTGTCTGACCATCCTGAACGTTCTACCAAGCAAATCTTTGTTTCAGCTAACACTGCAAGTCGAGATAGGTTGTGACTCGGCTTGCTCAACATAGTCTTCCTTGACTAGTACTCTTTGTCTAACCTCAACATTACTGATGCAGTGAATCCACCACACGAGACCAATCCTATGAAGGTACTTTGGTGGGAAATCTGTAATCTCTTCACGTCATCTACTTTCGATGACCATGTCTCACAACTGTATAGTTGGATACAATGAACTTCAGTGCAGTATACTTGTCCTTCAATAAGTAGTCGGATATCTCACCGACGCCGATGATGACGCAAGTTGACAAGTGCCGTAAAGGCCTTCTGTATCCGAGGTGAGATTTCGTCAGTAACCAAGTCATTTAGGCTGGTACTACTTCCCGAGTAAGTAAAGTGGTCGACGTATTCTACCACTTCAATTACTCATTATCCGTAAAGTAGCTGCGGACCAGTCCTTAGGCATCATCTTACAACTGAAAGGTGCGAAACGCTTGGCACCCAAACAAACTCAGATTTTTGCCGGAGGCTCTCATCCGACCCTGTATTTTTTTAGCATCTTCATGTAACAGGCTAATGTCTTCTGCGTACTCCGTGTTAACTAGATGGTCTCCCGGGAGTATGTAAGGCAGTCCCCATGGAGTCAAAGGTTCCTGTAGTTATTTGCATCATTACATCTGTAGTAAAGTTGAACGAGAATAGTGACAGCTGGTATCCCTGGTGGTCACCACCACTTGTCGTCAATCTGACTGATTGACGGAACACAAGCGTAGTTCGCAGTCTGTTAAGCGAACCAATGAGTTGTTCCTGAGTTGCTTCACTTTTGGGAAAGCTGTTATCATCCACTCTATCACTGTGTTACCGCATTGTCTTATGTCATCCTCAGTCGCAGTCGCTTAAATAATTCCTTGAAAATAGAGAAATTAAGCAGAATAATATTTTGAAATGAAGATGGAATAGAACACTGATAATTGCTGTAACAACAGATGATTCAACTCGGAAACAGTCCACTAATTTGACTACTAGTTACAGATAGTCAAATCACCGTGGAACCTGGTACATAAATGGATTACTACATCTCACAACAGCGTACAAAGAAAAAACTTCGTAGAAATAAAAGGTATCGAAGTAAATGAAAGTTTATGAGAGTAGAGGAAATAATTAAATGGTTGTCGAAAATGTTTTAAGATGACGAAGTGTATACATTTGCACCATTGCTATAAGTTTTCAGCCATCATTACGCGGCCAAAACTAATAGTCGGAGACCTCATGATTTGATATCACGTCTTGGTCCGATCAGCGTTAAGTTTTTTCGTAACCAATTCTTCTTTGTCTAATATTCCGCAATTTGTTAGGCTATGACTTGATATATACTGTACATTTCCAAGTCATCTCAGTCCGTGAAGGTTGACAGTCTCACCAACTGAATTCCCTTCTTACCTAGTAATCTTAATCTAACATCGGCGTTACTCACAACGTGTTGCTTAAGCCAAATATGAACAATGCTACGAAGACATCTGCGGCTAAATCTTGTAACGTCTTCATATTTGCTACTTTCAACGCCCATGCGTCACAGCCAGATAGACAAACAGAGTAGACTGCTGCACAGTATACTCATCCTTTGTTATGGAGTCGAATATCTCATTAGCACCAGAGATGTAATTGTATGCCCCTTGACTGTTTCAATCTTAAGTGGGTTATCATTAAAATCTTCATTCTTTTCTTGAAATTCACTTTCTGAAACCAATGAGCTAGAGTCGAATTGCGTGTCTGAAAGTTTGACTCATTAGGTTTGTTTTCACTATCTCCCCCACAAAAACACCATTTCTGTTTAGTTTCTTAAAATTTTTACTCTGCGACTATTACTAACAGTTCGAGCCAATGGAATAGAATTTCTAGTCCGAATCTTAGTCTTAGACGTCTGGATAGGTGTAGGTTTCCCAATTAGAGGCGTCATCGTGAGAATAAGAATCAATGCTTGAAGACTTTCGATAACATGGCTGGAAATCGATCACAACGACGCATGTATATTCACTCTTTGGCGTCTTCTAAGGCTTGAATATACCCAATGATCTTCATTTTCGGATTTCTTTCCCTCCCATACATCTTTGTCGACTTTGGTGTCGCTGTTTTTCTACCCACTTGTTGTTTGCATGCTACTGTGAAATGTGGCAAGTTGAACTGATTTACGTATGTACTAGGTTATACGCTGATTGTAACTATCTGTTTACATATCCTGCTAATACTGAGTAGAAGTCTAATGAAGTAGCAGAGATTGTTTATTAGAAGATTGCAATCAGTAGTGCTGAATTTAATAAACCTTACAGTAAAGCCACACTTGCAGCACTCTCTTGGTTTGGCATTTGTGTACAGTGTTCTTGCCCTCTCCGTTTCTATTCAGTATAGTATATTCTTCCCTCCCAAACGTTCAATCAGTTATTATCACGTTTTCTGTTTTCCACTGCCACTGTATGTACTATTGATGTACGTTGTTATAAGTAGCGTTCACCACAATACCTCTACTACGTTCACATTAGTGCCTATAACATGCTTGCAAGAAAAAATCAACCCTAGTTTGCGAACCTTAGACAGAATAGGTCCACTGTGAGAGTTATACTTTTGTACTGAACTCCGTTTTTCAGTTGTCCAGATAGGCTTAAATAACTTTAAGTTATAGTGTACTCGGCACGTGGTTTAGTTTGTAACTGAATAACTTTTATCTAATAATTCTAAGTGACTAGAATAAATTGTCAAAAGGTTAGTAATGCCCATTCAATCAAAACTTCAGTACGTTTCTTCCTTTATGTTTTATACCGAATCATCCTATAAATTAGAATTATTATCATAAGGATTTTATACAATTTACAATGAAAGTTTAAAACAGCTTTGAGTATATGTACTTTAATTTTGAACTACTTGTTTTAGCATACTATGGGCCGTTCTCACTCTCAATATAGCTCTCCGAGTTCATCCAGTGGAAAACTGAAAGGTCATCACACAAAAACGCGTAGTCGTTCTCATCGTAAGAAAGCTAAAAGAAAGTCTTCCAGTCGAAATACATCTGAAGACTGTCAAAAAGCTAAAATACGTAATTTAACTAAAAGGATATGCAGTATGGTGGACGCAGATAAAAAGCGTAGTCGTTCTAAAAAGCTCAAAGATAAATTAACATCATGTGGATGTCCATATAATTGTGAAGGCGAGATTCAAGCATTACGCAAAAATATTGAAAGTCTTCGTTCAGGTCTTAGTCATGGTTATAAAGATAGACCGACTTTTCAACTGGAACACTTCATTGAAGATCACTATCAGCTCCTTTCTGAAGCTTGGATTTCTATCGGTCCATCAAAACTTCAAGATCTTGTCTCCGCTAGTCTGCTATCCATATGTGCTAGACGAGAGCGTAGAGATGCAAAACATTCCTCCGGTAAAAATCGAAGAGTTTCTTGTATTATTCAACCTTTCTTGTCTTTTGATGGAAGTGATTATCAGCTTGGTGTCTCAGAATTATGGCATAGATGTATCCAAGAGCTAGATGATTTATCAGTAGAACAAGTCAAAACCATCTTAAATGGAACAGGAAATCTTGATCCGACCGAGTTGGTTCGTAATCCTAATACTATATGTAATGCTATCAGCTCCGATAACAATCATATTTCTCATTCTCCAACATCAAGTAAACCAAATGAGAAAACATCCGAAAAACAAATCCATGATGCTGACTCGACTACTGCTTTGTGTTCAGTGAGTTTTACGTCGACTTTTTCTACTAATTTTTCTGTCTTGGTGGTTAAATGGTTTTATTTTTCGTGTAGTACAAGTGGAAAGTGTTGTGTCATTCGAACTTGTATTATTAAGTACTGCGACTATACGGTGTAAAAGCTTGTCTGAGCAGACAACATTTCTCAAATCTTTCACCTTACAAAGTACCATATGCATTTATCTACAGTGTTCTCTTTCGACCACTTATTATTCAACTTGGGGGTTTGTGGAGATATACTAATTTCAAGTTGGTATTCATCATAGACTGACATCAGTTGGAGTAACATTGAAAACCTCGGAGCACTGGACAGGTGTTTCGTCCTAGTACGGGACTCCTCAGCAGTGTGCACCCATAACCCCTCCAGGGATCATGCAACCCTGGTATAATGTTGTCATCCAGGAATGAGCTGGAATGTTCGGTGGACATAAAAAAGGTAAAAAGAGCGCGAAAGCAAGGCTGAAGCAGAAGAGTAAATGTTTTATCAAGGAATCAGTCTTGAGAATACATTAAAGGAAATATTCAGTACTATCGTTCCACTCCTTAGTTATAGAAGAAACAAGAAAGCTAGAGCGTGATCGTTACCGGTTTCGATTCTGGGCTATATCTGATAACTTCTCAGGTCACTGAGTCGCAGGATCCCTTGAACCTCATCCAGGTAGTTGTGATGCACCAACATATAGTTAACTCTATACAACTGTCCCTTATTATACGGCACTAATGCCATACATCAGCCATCTTTTCACATTTTCTAACCAGTCCTGAGGTCTGGCCGCTGGGTTAACATTCATATTCCATACAAAACACCAGATCTGATGTTTTAGGATATCACTCAGTGAATTACAACCCGCATTATGTTCAAGATTTGTGTGTATGTGTGTATAATGTTATCACCTCTTATTCAAACTCCGAATTAGCTTGCGTTTGATGCTCTTTCTAACTTTATTTTCACCTCAACTCGTTAATTCTCATTTCCGAACCCAAGTGGCTCAAGTTGATATATTTTTGCCAGTTTTGTAGTGATTTAGCTAATGGCTTCATCAAAAGCATGCAGTTTAACGTAGTGTAATATAACTCAACGTGTTATGGGTTTATGAGCGAAGCCTGTTTCTCAGGCTGAAGTAGGTGTGGCTGGGTTTGAAGCTCGAGGTTTTTTAACGAACAGACAACTTTTCAATTCATAGTCCCATCTTGTCACATCCAGTGACTTTTTTAATCGCATACTGGTAAAAATGGATGAAACTCTTAGTGCGTTGTTAAGACTGCGAGCTATACATTGGATGGATCCCCAGCTAGAGGCTAAGTCGTACCGAAGGCCATTTCAAACAATCACCTGAAGTATATCCAACTATTCTATTCCATAGCTGACAGGCACATGAAAATCATTTGTTGATCTTTCAGATTACTTTTAACCACCAATAACTTTATCATTTTGACTGCCTGAGATAGCCGTAGTTTGGCAGACTAGTATTTATACTGGGTGCTGATTGAAGGTGAAATGAAAGTTTGGGACACGGCCGGATTCGAACCAGCGACCACCGAGTTTCCGGTCTGATGCTCTACCAACTAAGCTAATAACCTTAATACTTCGCAAAGGTATTGCATTTTCTAGAGTAGTCAAACTGATTTACTGTATACTCATTTCACTGTTATCTTCTCCAGATTACTTAAGTAGTACTCAGTAGCATCAAAATTGATTTAGAAATGAACCATCATATGCCTGCTTTTATCATGATACCCATTAATAGTGCTATCGAAAAATATTTAAAAACAATATCAATTTCACTAGTTTTCTCAAAGCTGTGAGAAGATCATAAGTTCGATTTTTCACCTAATAATGTACTTTTGTGCGTAAAGTTTTGTTGTTAGGTGTCGTATAGTGCAACTTATTATCCATGAGTCCGTTACCCACTCCATCTACATCAGTCTAAATGCGTTTATAAACTTATATGACTTCAGTTCATTATATTTTATTTCCTTCCAACAGCTGGAAAAGTCACGTTCAGGTTAATGTTGTCCAAGTTGCTAGAGTTTTGGTCAATGAAGCTTGTTGGCCAAGTTGACGGAGGTCGCGGACATCGAAGTCTCCAATGTGTAGTTTGGGGCGTGGTTTAAGGAGGCCGGTAATACTGTTCTATGTACTCAGGTCGTTGTTGAAAGCTGAAGAGCTAGAAGAAACTAGAGATGATGTAGGATTGTTAACTGAGAGATGTGAAGGAGGAGTAGTTGACACTTCCTGGCTGCCCACTGTTGAAGGCTGTCTTCTTGAGGTACCTGAAAAAGTAGGGTTAATGCGTGATCGCAGAGCCTAGGGAACATCTACTTGAGACCGGTCACGTATGGCCTTTATGGTGCCACGAAAACTAGCCTATATTATGGAAGATGTGGACGGACATATGTCCTGTCGTTTTGGATCACCACCACTAACCTCTGTTAACTGACGTAAGCCATCATGACACATTTCATTTTTAAGAACATGTTAAGGGTAAGATATGGTTGATTGATATGATTATGAGCAATAATTTATGCTGGAAACGTCACCAAGTAAATAATACTATATCACTCTGTGTTGTAGATCAAATATACGAATTTAATATGAAGCTAACTGCTTTTTGTCTGGTCACTATCCAACAGACCTTTTTGTTATGGTAGGACTTCAAGGGAACAACCGTCTCACTAGCACAGCGTTCATTGGGTCATCGTGATATACAAGTCCGACCACTATGTCAAGGTAGCAGCTATCGGTCAGGGGTTAGTGTTGTAGATTGCAGACAGTATGTATTCTTGAGAATAGCAATATTGTAAGTCGATCCTATACCTATTTGTATGCTTTTGATAATCCCTAGTTGCTGAAACTGAAGTAGATGGTTCAGGGGGTTTGAACCTTGTACCTAGAACCATAGCAATGCCACATTTTCATTCAAACCATAGTGTGTTTAGTGTGCTGACTCTATATTCTTTTTAAATGTTTCATTATTAACCACAGAACCACAGAATAATAGAAAATTACCTAAGGGGGCTATATAATGATGAAAAGGATTGCCGACCATATTTATGTGAATACAGCCTAGTAGGATGATTATTTTACCACATATTATTTATCCCTTGGGTTCCTAGTGGAACATAGGGCTTCAGTAGCACGTCTCCATCGCACTCTATTCTCTGCAGTCTTTTCAACCTGGCTCCATGACTGCCCACAAGCTTTCATTTATTCTTCACACCATTTCCTCCATGTCACCCTCGAACGCCAAGCTCGTCGTTTTCCCCTTAGGTTCCACTCGAGTGCCTGGCCTGGCCTGGCGCGTGATGCCCCCAATCGGTCTTCTCAGTGTATGTTCAATCCAATCCATCTCCACTTTCTTCTTTTGCATATTTGTTGGGCGATGGGTTCTTGGTTGGTTCGTTATCAGAGTTTCTTGTTGCTTATTCTTTCTGGTCGTCTGATCTTCAGTGACGAGCGTAGGCAGCTGTTGATGAATGTCTGTAGTTTGTTGGGAATGCTTTTCGTGACGCATCAAGTTTCTGAACCATATAGAAGCACTGACATACTTGACTGTATTGGTGTTGAAAATCCGGATCTTGTTCTTTGTGCTGAGTATAGTAGATCTCCACACTGATTATTTCAGATTGATGAAAGTCTGTTTTGCTGTCCTCATCTGTGTCGCTTGTAGTTGAAACGATGCTGCCTCCTAGGTAGGAAGGGGAAAGAGACAACTTCCCTTAGATTTCCCCGTTGCTGGTGCTTGTCGTTGTCGTTGTTGGTTGGGTATCTTCATCACCTCTGTCTTCTCTACGTTCACTTGAAGGAAGTCCCGTCTCCGCTGCTCTACCTCTTCTGTCAACTCATTGGTTTTTGCCCGTAGATCTTCAAATTTGTGCAACCTGCAATAGTGGTATGAGCATGTCCGCTGATGTCTCTGCGTCCGTTTTCAGTGCTTCTGGCGGTATTCCATCTGGTCCTGCTGCTTTCCCGAATTTCAGTAGCTTTTTGGCGTTCAGGACTTCATTTCTGCTTTCGTCGGAGGGCTTATGTTCACTGGTAATTCTGTGGCTGGGCTGCTGGTGGTATTTCTGGATGAGTTGCAGGTGGTAGTGGTGGTCGATTCAAGATTTTTTTGAAGTGGTAAGCCCATCGTTTGCTTTGTTTCTCCTCTTTGGTGGTGACCAAGTTTCCTTCACTATCTTTCATTGGTTTCATCTGTGTTTATTTCCCCCCAGATAGTAAACTGGTTCTTTGACATAGTGTTGTCAGGTCTCTGTCTCTCTTACCTGCAGCCTGTTCTGCTTCGGTTGTCAGTGTGCCGTAGAAGTGTCTTTTGTCTTTCTGTGCACTCTTCTTCACTTCTTTGCCCAGTGTAGTGTTATGTAGGTTGTGTTCAGTTCTTCTTTTTCCTTGTGCATCCTTGCACTGTTTCATCTTCTGTTTCACCATCACCATCTTCCCCTCCCTGCTCTATCAGCTTGCATGTGTCCGTTGAGATCCATTTCTTGTCTTGTCCTGTTCTGTTCCAGCGTACTTCCACACAGGTTCCTTCAGGGATATTGCTCATTCTCTCCCTTTTTTCTTGTTGATGGCTGACGTGAAGATGTTCTTTAAGTTTCGTCCTTCAGTTTCTGTTCTGGATGTTTAACTTGAGCTATGGTCTATCACCAGCTTGTTTCATGGCTTTCAACTTGATTTTGAAGTTAGGTTCCGTGCCCTAGATAGTGATTAGTGTCAACCTACATCTGTTCCCCTTCTTGATCTGACCTTGTGTCCAGTAGGCTACGTCTCCACTTTCTTCACATTTAGATGAAGTCGGTCTGATTTTTAGTGTCCTGGTATCTGGTGAAATCAAATCCATGTTGCTGCCTTGTGAATATCCTTGTGTTTGTACAAACTACCTCTAATCACCAAGTCATTAAATGCGCAGAAGTCTGCAAACGGTTTTCCATTCTCACTCATCATTTCACCGAGTGCTTCTCGATCGATGATCAGTTCTCT